GCTTTACACAATTGATGTGTGTATGGATTGTGATAAGAGTTGTATGAGCCCCTAATAAAATGATTTTTTTTAAAAAATGGAACACCTCCTGTGTGGCCACTCGGTGTGCTAGGGCCTTGGATAGAAAAATGAGTAAGTTCACTTTTTTCTTTGAAGGGATTGACATTTTAGCAAAGGGGAGGTAGGCTAACAAATACTATGGCATGTTATATGTAGGGCAGAGGTATAGTTTGAGCTCCTTGTGGACCCAGGTGAGGAAATGGTTAATCTTGAGGCTGGGGGCAAAGTGGGGGAATGCAAGCCCTGGCGAGGAAGTGATATTTGAGATGGACTGGAAGGATGAATGAAAACAGGCCAGGTGGGGAAGTGTCAAAGGCCAGCGTTCCAAGTGGACAACGTAGTATGAAAAGCTGTGGCTTGGTCAGAGCCTATGTTTGCAGGTGGCCTGTCATGTCAAGAAATAGGAGCTTGATCCTTGAGGCTTTGGGGCGCTGTCAGATTTGTGAGATCCATGGTGGGAAAGCTCAGTAGAACGTGTTAACCGATACAGAGAATGTTCTGCCACGTTATAAGGGAGACTAATTGGTTTGAGGGAAGTTGAGTCCAGATATCAAGTTAGATATTTCCCAAAGACCACTGGAATTAGGAGTCAAAGTAAAGGTGGTGTTTGAAGCAGTGGGACTGAACCGATTGGGCAAGGGCGCGTCACGGGCAGGTAAGGAGAAGCGTCTGGGGCTGACTGCTGAGAAAACGAGTTGAAAGGCTCGAGAAAGAGAGAACTGGAACCCCGCTGCTGTCAATCTGAGTGATCCTACAGGAAGCAGCCTGCTGACGTCTCACATCGTTTCCTCTTCCTTCCTAGGAGAACATGAGAGCCTTGACCAAGGGGGTCCAGGCTGTGATGGGCTACAAGCCTGGGAGAGGCCTGGTGACCACAACTAGTCAGTGTTCTGAAGCCGGGGCTGGGAAGCCCTGGAAAAAGCATGGCAACCGGAATAAAAAAGAGAAAAGCCGCAGACTCTACAAGCACCTGGATATGTGAGTGGGCCCGGCAGAAATGGCACCTGCGTCGTGTGGATGGACGGGCCTGGGCGCCTTTTCAGGACATGGCCTCTAGAAAGGACCCTGCTGCTGGCAGCACGACCCCTCGGCAGCCTTGATAGCAAGACTGACGATCCTGGAAGCGCCAGCTCCGACTCGGGTCTCCCTGGAGCCACCACCACCACCCCCCCACCCCGGACTGTGGTGCCTTCAGAAGACTGGCCTCAAGATGAGTGAATGGCTGCTGTCTCTGTTTGTTGTGAATTTGTACAAAGGTGCATAGTGGTTCATAAGGGTAAGTTTTTTAAAAGATAGTAAAATCAAGTTGCTAGTGACATGTCTTACTGGTTTAAATAAACAAATGCACTGCCATTTGAATGCACCATGTTTTCTCTGCAGGGTCCCTTTGCTAAGGCATGGCTGGTGTTTGAGGGGGATTCTCTTGAGTCCACTTTGTTTCCTGGTCTGACACAGTGGAAGAGGGAGCAGAGCTTGGTTAGAAGGGTATAAAGTGTGTCCTTTTGGAAGGTTAGTCCTGGGGAACATACCTCTGTTGGAACCCACTGTCACCATGAGCTGCTTCTACAGGTGAAGGCAGGTGTTGTGGAGCTAACCCATTTGTGGAGAGCCCCACCTACTTTGGATCATAGGCGTATTGTTACCAGGCACCGTTGAGCGAACAGCAGAAATACTGTCAGGTCCTGCACCAGCCTTGCAGTTGTTTGCAGCCACTATGACAATCCATCTTGTCGGTGGTCTTTTCTCCACCCCTCCACTCTCCAAGCAGACGTCCTTCTCCAGGGACTGGTCTGATAACACACCCAAAGGAGGGGAGAGGAGGTCTCATCGTGCTCACGTGGAGCATGCGGGCTGTACTCGTAAGGCAGACCTGTCTGTCCCTGTGGTCCGTGGTCCTCGCAGCGTGCTTCACTAAATTCGAAAGCGTCCACTTTTCTTGGGTAGCCCTTCCTCATTGCCCAGCTTTCCTAGATGGATGGAACCAGGAAAACACTGGCAGGGTGACAGCTTTGCTCTGTAACCCTCGAAAGTGCTCTTTGCAGCAGTTCCGCCCCCTGCAATACCTGGTGTCCTTCTTTGACTGCTGTTGCCATGAATAATGTGGACCCAAGAAAAACGAAGTCCTTCCCAGCTTCAAGCTTTTCTGTTGATCATGTTATCTATGGGTCTCGTGAGATTTTTTTCCCCATTATTTTGAGGTGTAACCTATACGGAAGGCCTCAAGCTTTGGTTTCATCTGGTGGTACTTCAGTTCTCTTAAGCACAAAACAAAACAAAAAATGGACCTACTGCTATTGAGTTGATTCTGACCAAGTAACTGTAGGACGAAAAGAACCGTCTCAGGGGTTTCCAAGGGTCTCCGTTTCTAGGGAGCAGATCGCCATATCATTCCTCCCTTAGAGAAGCTGGTGGGTTTGCTTCACAGCCCAGTGTTGTAACCGCTGAGCATCCAGAACTCCCGGTGGTCGTAGGCCACCCCTAATGTGAGTCCTGAGGCCGGCAAGGTTGAGACAGGCAGTTAGCTTTCAGTCAGTGTGGCAGACCTCAGCGCCCAGCCACTCCCTCAGCCCCTAGACCTCATGCTCCCCACTCAAGCTCCTGAGCCTGTTTTGTGTCCCAGATATTCGGAGTGTGTGTGCAATTTAGGCACACTAGAAAAATGCATTCTTCCCGTGCAGCTGTTTCAGGTGGGGGAGGCCTGCCTTTAACCACAGTATACTGAAGGTTGGTTTTTAATGGGTCAAATTCAAGGAATTCCTTGACAGTGCATTTCTTCACTGAACAGGTATGATTCACTAGCTAGCCAGCATGTGGCTGAAAGAACAGCATGAACAAGGCCCTGCGGCAGGGAGGAGTGCTGCGGGCACAGTCGGCCAGGGCCAGGCCCCGGGGCCTCTTAGGGATCCGCTGGCTTTCTTAAAAGCAGTGAATAAGCCCATGCATTTTCTACAGACAAGTAATAAGATGTTTCATCACTGGAGGCTTAGTCCAGGGCAAGGACCTGGGCCAAGGTGAACTCGGTGGACCTGCCACTGAAGGTGTTCTAGCATCTCGATGCCGGGCAGCTTGCTAAACCAGACGAGGACCATGCGTTCCCGCGTGGAAGCGTCCTCTGTTCCCTTGGTGAACAACAGGCACGGCCATGGCCAAGCAGTTCATCTTGAATAGCTGGAGAGTGTTTATTTAGAAGACACAGGGATCACAGCTAAACCACGAGACTTTGGAAAACTCTGTTTTTGGATAAAGTCCACATACCATACAGTTCATTTCCTTCCAAGTGTCATTCTGGTTTTCCATGGGCTCCAGGGGTCGCGTAACCCTCACACCCCGATTGCAGGACACTCCGTTACCGCGTTAAGAAGTCCCTTACACTTCAGCCATCAACCCCTAACCCTTCCCCTCTCGCAACCCCTCATCAGGGTTCACCTGTAGATTTGCCCCTTTTGTACATTTCCCAGATCTGGAACCTATATCGCTTTCTGTGACTCACAGAGTGTCAGGTTCATGCATGTTGTCACAGACACTGGCATGCATTCCTATTTTTGCTGGAAAAGAATGCATTGTATGGAGATGTCTTGCCCAGTTATCAGTTGGTGGACATTCCCTAACTGTTCTGTGCTTTGCACATTTGTGTTTACGTTGTAGGGGTGAACGTGTTTCCGCTTCTCTGTATTCCAGGAGTGGGATTGCTGAATCACACGGTCACGACCTGCTTGTTTCCAAAATGTACATCCAGGAGGCGTTGTATGGAGGCTCCAGTGTCTAGCAAGGATTAATGTCCCTATCCCCCACTCCCATAATCCTTTGGCGCACCTCAGCTCTGCAGCCCTTGCGAACAGCTGTGTATGCTGACCACTCCCTTCCTTAAGCCGTCTGCCTTCCTGCTTCCTGGCCCCAGAGTTTTCTCTTGTACCACAGGAACTGGACTGGGCAGTCTTGGAGGGAGGGGTGGGGGGG